AATGGGTGGCACTTCTGCGACAATTATTCTTGGTGTGGAGAACGTAGCGGAGGCTATTAGATTCAGCTGATTATTTTGTAAGCGCTCACTTATCTAGAAATTCGGCATTTTCTGATTTTCATGGACCAAATGTTCCATTTGTTGCTGGGAGATGGTACTAACAGCAAACTATAGCCCAGAAAAGACTGGAGACTATTTCCTTAATTTTATATGAAATTCTCACTTGGAGACACTGCCAAAATTGTTATCAGGGCTTATTATGAGGATAGGTCAAGGGGTATTATTCAGATGTTCCTGCTTCATGCTCACATGCCTCGCTGTAGTTGATCAGTCAGAAGTTTAGGATGAACTAACTTAAAAATCAAACTATCTGATTCAATTCCAAAATGAGTATTTTTGAATATTTATTCAAAGCACCTATTATTAGTAAGTCACCGTGCTTCGTATTGCAGACGATGTACAGGTTAATTAAGAATAGTCATTCTCTCAATGAGTTTGTCATTTCATTGGGATATTAAGATAAACACATTCCAGTAGCTGTATTGGGAAGTTAAGATAGGCACATATGATCAGGCTATGATAGGTAAGTGCAAAATTCTGTAGAGTCTGAAGGGAAAAAAAGCACACGCGTCATTGAGCTGGCCCCTAAAGGCTGTATAGGGTTTTAAAAGAGATTGGGAAAGAGAGCACATCTCAGCAGAAAGGGATGGCATGACCGAAAGCAATGAAGTGGGTTCGAGGCAGGTTGTGTTCAAGGAGAATGTGGCTGTAAAATAGGAAGGACGGGGGGAGAACAGGAAAGTGGTGCTATATGGTGCCGGATATTGACCTCATATAACCGGCAACGCTTGAAGCATTTCAGCACGGAAGTGGTGTCATCAGATTTGCTTTTTGGATTGCTCATATTTTTAGAAAAATAGCTTTATTGTGGTATAATTGACATACAATCAACTGCACATATTTAAAATGAACAACTTGATAAGGTTGTGTGTATGTGCCTGGGAAACGGTCACCAGAGCGGGATAGTAATCACAGGCATCACTCCCAAAAGTCTTCTTGTGCCTGTTTATAATCCTTCCCTCCAGCACCCAATCCCACTCCCCGTTGTTCTGCTTTCTGTCACTCTAAGTTCGTTTGCATTTACTAGAGTTCATATAAATGGAATCATACTGTATGAACTCTTGTCTGGTTTCTTTCACTCAACATAATTCTTTTGAGATTCATCTATGTTGTTACATATATCAAGAGTTTTTGGTTTAGATAGTCAATTGAATTTTTTTTAATTAATTAATTTATTTATTTTTGCTGTGTTGGGTCTCCGTTTCTGTGCGAGGGCTTTCTCTAGTTGTGGCAAGTGGGGGCCACTCTTCATCACGGTGCGCCAGCCTCTTCACTATCGCAGCCTCTCTTGTTGCGGAGCACACGTTCCAGACGTGCAGGCTCAGTAGTTGTGGCTCACGGGCCCAGCTGCTCCGCGGCATGTGGGATCTTCCCAGACCAGGGCTCGAACCCGTGTCCCCTGCATTAGCAGGCAGATTCTCAACCACTGCGCCACCAGGGAAGCCCCGTCAATTGAATTTTTATGTCTTAAATAGTCAGATAAAAATTTCACATATTTATCCTTGCAGTTACCACTTCAGCATTCTTCATTCATTTGTATAAATTCAGATTTCCATCTGGCATCATTTCTTCCACCTGAAGGATTTCCTTTAACATTTCTTCTAATGCAGGCCTCCTGATGCTGAATTCTTTCAGCTTTTGCATGTCTGAAAATGTCTTGAAACTGCCTTCGTTTTTGAAATTTATGTTTGCTGCCTATGGAATTCTAAAATGACACTATTTTCCTTTCAGTACTTTAAATACGTTGTTCCACTGGGTTTTGATGTTGTTGTTTTGCTTGCGTTGTTTCTGATGAGAAATCTAATGTCACCCTTATTTTTTCTTCTGTACGCATTATCTCTTTTTTCCCTGACAGTTTTTAAGGTTTTTCTTTATCACTGATTTTGAGCAATTTGGCTATGATGTTCCTTGTTAGAGTTTTCTTCCTATATTTTGTGTTTGGGGTGCCTGACCTGCTGAGATTTCTGAGATAGTTTTCTTTAAATTTGTAAAATTTTCAGCATTATTTCATCAAATATTTTTTTCTGTCTCCCTCCCCCACTTCAGGGAATCCAGTGACCTGAAACTTGAAATTGTCCCACGATGCACCAGTGCTCTTTTGTGTTTGGGGTTCTTTTTTCACTCTCCATTTGTTTTAGTCCCATTAATCCCATCCAGTGTTGTTGTTGTTTTTTTGAGACATTGTGGTTTTCATCTCTAGAAGTTCACTTTGGATCTTTCTTATATCTTCTATATCTCTAACTTCCTGAATGTATAAAATACAGTTGATAATAACTGTTTTAATGAACTTCTCTGTTAATTCTAACATCTGTGTCAGTTCTAGGCCAGTTTTGAAGGATTGATGATTATCCACGTTATGGGTCATGCTTTCCTGTCTCTTTGCATGCCAGGTAACTTTTGATTGGTTGCCAGACCTTGCAAATTTTACCTTGTTGGGTGCTGGATATTTTTGTATTTCTATGAATCTTGAACTTTTTTCTGGGATGCAGTTAACTTCCTTGGAAACAATTTGATCCTTTTAAGACTTGCTCTTATGATTTGTTAGGTCTGGAGCAGTCCTCAGCCCAGAGCTAATTATTGCCCACTACTGAGGCAAGACCTTCCTGAGTACTCTACCCAGTCCCCCATCAATGATCATTTTTGCCAGTTTGGCTGGACGGAACTGGCACTTTTTCTGGCCCAGTGAGCACTGGGCACTCTTCCCTCTAACTTTTTCTGATGGTTCATTCTCTGGCCTTGGGTAGTTTCCCCACACACGTATACTGATCAGTATTCTTGAATACTTGAGGGGGACCCTGTGACTGTCTCTGGGATTCTCCCTCTGTGCGGCTCTTCCCTCTGTCCTATGAGCTCTAGCTGCCTTGATCTCCCTGAACTCTCAGCTCTGTTTCCTCCGCTCAGGGGTCCACCTGGGCTCACCTCAGTTCCCCTTTCCTGTGCTGTGGACTGGAAACTCCGCCAAGGAAATTGTAGGGCTCACCAAGTTTGTTTCCTATCTCTTAGGGATCTATGACTTTTATTGCCTATGACTAGTGTCCTGAAAACAACTAATTTATATATTCTGTATTTTTTGTGTGTTTCAGACAGGAGAGTAAATCCAGTTCCTGTTATTTCATCTTTGCCCAAAGTACAAAATTGGCCAGATTTGGCATTTACTCTCAGGGCTATGTCAAGGATGGTTTTGAAGATGCCAAGAATGGAATTAGAGGGTCAATCTAGACAGTTACCAAAGCAGTATAGTCAAAAACATATGCAGGCCTTGAATTCATGTGACTTTAATGTATTGAAATGTATGAAGGTCTTGAAGGCAGTGGTGATAGAACAGAGAGATAGGGGTGGATCCAGGAAGTAAAATGGACATGACTGATGACTGACTGGACAGAAGGGTGATGGAAGGGTGAAAGTTTAAGAGGACTCTAAGTGTTCTAGGAGGGGAGGCTAGATAGATGTTGGTGCCACCAAGTGATCTAGGGCACCTGAGAGAAAAGGATGAGAGAAAGAAGTTTATGGGAAATCGAGGTGGAGATGTTCAGGGCCAAAAATGATCTATCCAAGGGTGAAAATACTGAGATTTTGTCCTAGAAGTTCCCCTAGAGACTGAATTTTGCTGATCACATCCCTGGTATGGTGTTTAGCATGTTTCTCTGTTTTCTGTATTTCCTACAAATTGGATCTAGAGGGTTGATGAGGTTGTTTCAGTGTTTTTTGGTCAAGGCTAATCCATGGATGGTGTTGTCCATTGCTTTTAAAATAAATGCAAACTGTACCATGGTCTAGTGTCTACCAGGTGCTGCAGGATTCATCTGCAGCCTCATCTTATACCACTCTTCCTCTCTTACTCACTCTGTTCTCTTACTCCACTCTGTCTCCTACTGGGGAGACAGCCTCTCGGTAGCTCTAGGGAACCGCTCTGAAGAGGTAGGGGGAAACCAGCTTATGTATGACTTTTGGCTAGAAAATACATTCAGTCAAGAATACATCTCAGTAGGGCTTCCCTGGTGCCGCAGTGGTTGAGAGTCCCCCTGCCGATGCAGGGGACACGGGTTCGTGCCCCGGTCCGGGAAGATCCCACATGCTGCGGAGCGGCTGGGCCCGTGAGCCATGGCCGCTGGGCCTGCGTGTCCGGAGCCTGTGCTCCGCAATGGGAGAGGCCGTAACAGTGAGAGGCCCGTGTACCGCAAAAAGAAAAAAAAAAAAAAAGAATACATCTCAGTAAAAAATTGCTGTTAGTCACAAAGAACAGATACCTCAAGTTAATGATTTTAGTGCTCATCTATGTACGGGAAGTTGCAAGGATTTGGATTCATTAAAATTCTTCCTGAAATACCTCTGACTATCTATGGGGACTGTTTTTCTAGATCACAGAGTGCCGCATCCTGCTTTTCATCCTGAATTCCTCTCAGGGTGCACTGTCGGTCAGGGACTGCAGTGGCTACGATGCTCTTGGCTTTCCTTTATTTTTCACCTCCATTTTACAAATGAGGAAACTGAAATTTAGTGATTCAAGGTGTTCTGTAAGTATTTGTTCAGTAAATAAATCTGTGAATTTGTCCAAAGCCACACAACCATTAAATAAAGGAGCTAAAACTTTTTGCTTTTGTTTCCTTCTGTTTTTCTCTTTCCTTTTTTCTTCCTTGGTGGGAAGAACGGGGGCAGCAGGTAGAGCTGCTGCAGAAGGAGGAGAGGCAGGGAAGGTGAGGACGGCTGGCTGAGAATTACTGGATACGAGCATAATGTCTCCATCAGCTGTAGTACCTAATCTTCATTCTGTTTTCACTTAATAAAGCAGTGCTAATTCTTTAGTAAAGGCTGTCTTTTACCAAACCATGGATGAACTAGAACTATAGCCTGGATGTAAAAGCAAAACCAAGGTCTTCTTTTTAAAATAAATTTTATTTTAACAACATTAATTTTTTCTAGATAAGGAAAGTAGTACATATTTCTTGCAGACCTTTTCAAAAATATAGAAAAAATCAAAACTGCCTATACATGTCCATCCTTACAGAGAAGCAATTAACATTTCAGAAAGCTCCTATTTAACCACTTTCCCACCTTATTTTCAATAGCAGGTGGTTTTGCTTTTGTTTGGTAAGTCCAAGGTCAAGGCAGAATTATCTTGCTGCTGCGGCTGGTGGTTCAACAGGAAGGGAGACAAATCTTTGCTCACATCTAGAGAGCCACCGGCATCCGGAGAGCCAGACAGGTGTGAGCTGAATTAAAGAGCTTCTAAATGTCATCTGAACAAAGGTCCCGACAGTGGATGAATAAGAATCACACACTTGGTCCTGGGTTTTTTGTTCTCCTGGCCTATTATAGATGTGTTTTTCCATAACTGAATAATGTGAAGAACTTTCCAGCGGTAAACAGTGTTCTCCAATTGAAGCAGTTCTTCTCAGAAATTTATAGGGAACAGACTGAGTCCTGTTCACTTTCTTTTATTAGGCAAACAATTTACATTATATTATGAAAATGAAGTCTGCAAACAAGATTACTTTATTAAATCACCACCTCCTCAGCTTTTCTTCTCTGCAGTAAGTATTCACAAAGATTTAACAGGCCTCCCACCAGCCTCATGAGCATTTTTAAAATCCTTTCTCTTCCTTTGAGATTTAACTGAGATGCAAAATGTTTTCATTTTTCAGACCTCTTGGAAAAAGCGGCTTTTCATCCTGTCAAAGAGTGGGGAAAAGGGCTTTAGTCTTTCCTATTACAAAGACCATCATCGCCGAGGTTCTATTGAAATTGATCAGTGCGTATCCAATCAAGAAAATGTTTATAATAACAAATTCTAACGTGTTGCCTGCAAAATAGAAAAAAGATTAGAAAACGTTAATTTGTGGAACTAAGAGTCTAACTGAAATAGGAATTCTGAATTAAGTTTTAGGCTGAACAAAGTATTTTCAATCAGTGATAAACCAGATCTAAACTTATTTTCTAAAACTATTGGACAATTTTCAAAGTATTGATCAAACAGATCTAAAGTTTTATTCAATTTGAAACTTAATAAAAACCATTAGTCAATTTTTTCCTAATTTTGTATTTGCATCTGTTTAATACTTTATATCTATATCTAACAGAAGTTCCAGTATAGAAGTCGGCATCAGTAACCATGAAAAAATGCAATCTGTACAGAAGATGTTTAGCTGCCATCATGACGAAGTGATGTCGATCAGGGCCACTAACAGGGAATACTTCCTCATTGGCTATGACAGGTAAGTAGTAAGATAACACAGGGTGTCTCCTGTATGCAAAATAAAAAACAAACAAATAAACAAAAACATTTTAAACCGGTACACAATAAACATGCCTTGACTGGAAACCCATGGCCACAACCTTAAACACCATCTTGGCAGTCTTTATTATGTGTTAAAATACCTTGACAAATCACAGTATTCATTTCCTAGGGCTGCCATAGCCATGTACCACAAACTGGGTGGCTTAGAACAACAGAAATTTGTTGTCTAACTGTCCTGGAGACTAGGAGTCTGAAATCAAGGTGTCGTAGGCCATGGTTCCTCTGAAGGTTCTAGAGAAGATCTGTTCCAGGCCTCTCTCCTAACTTCTGGTAGTTCCTTGGCTTGTGGCAGCAAACCTCCAGTCTTTACATGGCAATCTCCCTATGTGCACGTCTCTACGTCCAAATTTCTCCTTTTTATAAAGACACTAGTCATATTGGATTGGGACGCCCTTCTCCAGTCTGACCTCATCTTAACTAATCACGTCTGCAACAACCTGACCTGACTTCCAAATAAGGTCACATTCTGAGGTACTGAGGATTGGGATTTCAACATGTGAATTTAGGCGGGGGACACAATTCAACCCATAACTGTCACCATCACCGCAGATACATTTTATGTACAAGAAACCAATACACTAACATCTACCCAAGGCACATATATTAGGGAGTGGCTATGCTCGTCCCTGAAGGAGTCTTCAGTTTTTAAGAGGGGCTCCTGGTGCTAGCGAAGATGGCAAATGGATGCTTTGTGGACGATTATCTGCCTGACAGAGAGGCTAAAGTTGGAGAAGGCAGCTGTACAGAGGAGGTGACAAATGCTCAAGCCCAAGTATCCATATGAAGAGATTTGATCTGCTGCAGATCAATCCCCAGGCGAAAACCTTTCTTTACAATTGTCTCGGGAGTCAATAGAAAGAAGATGTGATTTATATACATTTGTTCAAATACCTCCTTAAATACGTGCACTCCCTAAAGGGAGGCACATCTAAATAGCTACACCAAATGGCGCTGACAGGTTAAGGGGCCACTTAAGAACACAAAAGAAATCCGTTTCAAAGCCAAAAGCTCCAAACCCTGTGATTATACTGTTACTTTCCACTTTTCTTCCCATTTCTCTGAGCTTTGCTCACAGAGGTGGCATGAGGGTTAATTCTGGTGTGTTAGCATGGAGGTGGTAAGGATCCAAGGCGGGGGGGTGCATTTAAGCCACTCAAGAAAAAGATCCTGGGGCTTCCCTGGTGGCGCGGTGGTTGGGAGTCCGCCTGCCGATGCAGGGGACACGGGTTCGTGCCCCGGTCCCGGAGGATCCCACATGCCGCGGAGCGGCTGGGCCCGTGAGCCATGGCCGCTGAGCCTGCGCGTCCGGAGCCTGTGCTCCGCAACGGGAGAGGCCACAACAGTGAGAGGCCCGCGTACAGCGAAAAAAAAAGAAAAAGATCCTTATTTCCCTGGTACCTACCCCATTGCCTGTCCAATCTTAATAAAAGAATCCCCCTCCGGTTCAAAATGAGCGCAGGCGCCGTTGTTGCCACATGCCGGCTGAAAGTTTATTCCTATCAACAGGGAGAAGATTAAAGACTGGGTCTCTCTCTTGTCATCACTCTGCCGGAATATAAAAGCAGCACGCCAGAATACAGGGGTAACTATTTCACTGATAAAATAGCGGGTCACCCGAACAAAGCCCTCTTTCACAAGGAAACAATGTGAGCTATTTTTTTCCCCTCCTTAGCAACTGGCATTAATACAAGGAATAAATAAGTGAGAAAATGTACATCCTTGTTATTTTTATGACTAACAATAGAAAAAAATTCTTTTGTGTTTTGCAAGAGAGCTAAAATACAGACACTTCAAATTTTCATTATTGGAGTAGGAGGAGTGAAAGCTAACTGTGGCATTTTTTAATAGTAGCGGAAACTACAGTATTTTCCATCATTGTTATTCAAGGTACATAACAGCTACCTTTGGAATGACTAAGTCCAGGGTGGTTTCTAAAAAACATGCTTTTTACCTATCTTATATTTTCAATATAAGGTTTCTTTGATGTAAGTGCCAGAAATTTTAAGTTGTTTATTTACTTCATAAGAACCTTTGCTAATTTACCTAAGTCCTTTCTTAGGACAGACCTTTATAAATGAAACTTTGGCCTCTAGGTATCGTTTTGACATTGTTTCTAGATTGTTCCATGCTTACAACAAAAGCAGAGGCCAAGGAGAAGGGAAAGCAAAGTGTGTCTACAAGTACTCTAATGATTAGAGTGAAGGGGTGGGGTACAGAGGGACACAGCGTTGAAAAGACAGGTTGAGGGAAACTTAGAGCATCTCTGAAGGCCATGCTGGGAGTCCTCAAGGGTTTTGGAACAGGAGAGACACAAGACCAGCTCTTGTCTAAACGGGAGAATGCTGGCCAGCAGTATAAATGTTAGTGGTCAAAGACTGGAAGCAGAGAGCCCCATGACCAGGCTGTTGCTTCATTCTAGACAAGAGATCAATCATGCCCTGATTCCAATATTCCTTTTTGATAAGCAGGAGAAACTCTCATTTGGTGATAGAAGGCCCTCTTCAGACCCCATCCCTCTCCTTGGTCCTTCCTGCACACCGGAGGCTGTCAGCACGACCACAGCAAGAAAAAGTCTTCCAGACATGGTAATCGGACTTACCTCTCTTAGGACGCCCTGCCTGGGAGCCAGCTGATGCTTCAGAAGTCAATGTATTTGACATCTTCCTCAAAGCCTAATCCACCAAAGAATGATTCTTAGTCCTATGATCTATCCTATATTTAGTCTGTTTCCCCTACCATCATGAGCCTTACTGCTTGCCCTGCCTACATCTAAATGTATTCATTCATTTTGGATGCTCTTTGATATGCATCCAGGTACATTGGGTATGTCGGGTGGAGATCCCCCCAGCTAAACAAAAGCCTGGATGGTAGCCTTTTCCCTCCTTTCACCAACAGGGCAAAGATTACTTCTGTAAAAAAAATTCCCCGAACACCACTTGACCATCTGTACTCCTGAGGCAAAGTCAGAGTTCTTATTATTTCCTATATTTACCCAAATCAGTCTTGCTTCTCTGTGTGTGTGTGTGACTTCATTTCTAATGAAGTCCATTGGAGGAAAAAAAAATAATACATTTGCCCCTTGAAAATGATTTGTAATTGTGCTTTCAGCTCTCTTGGATTTGCAATCTTCCCAATTCTGGATATTATTAATGAACAGGCTGAGTGGTTTTTTTCTTCTGCCATGGATGCTATTTTGTCCCTTAGAGATGTAACCACTGACTTTGCCTTTTCCCTGGGTACCAGGCACATCTTAATAGGGCATAGCCTCCTGTTTTATCTAGCTGGAAGCTCTCCAACTATTTTAAAAGCCTTATGTAGCATATCAAATGCACCAGGCCAAACACTTCATTTGGTACTTGTAGGAAAGGTGGTAGGAAATGGGGTTGAGAAAGATAACTCTTTTCAGTAAATGCCTCTAGCTTTTCACTCCTGTACCCCTTCTCCCTAGAGATAATATTATTGGTCATTTTGCCTTTTCATACTATGTATTCCAATCCAGTGATTTTCCAACCAGCTTCAGTTAAGAGAACCACCTACCTTGTTGGGGTTGTTGTTGCTGTTTCTAAAATAAAATGGGAACCCTTCCTCATCCCAGACTCAGCATGACCTGGCTTCGTGAACTTGGAGCTAGAAAAACGGACACAACTTAAATACATCTTTTTTTTTTTTTTAATCACTTTCTTTCAAGGACTTCCTAGAGAACATTCAGGGTTTTTTCAACACCCCCCCCCCCCCGCTTGCTCTAAGGCATTGTACTTGGAAGAACTGAATTGTACTTATAACAATTTTCCTGCCAGGCAAAGCAGCTACTTTGTACTGTCCTGTATCTATTAGAGAGGGAAGCAGTAATTGGTTGAACCTAGATCACCTTGAAGCCTACAATTCATACTATCACATGATCGATGCTACAAAATTGCATTGCTATGGAAACAGTAGAATTATATAAGCAGAACACAAAAGAGGAACACTGAGCGGAAAGGGAAAAGATGCAGTGCCTTGACCCTGGGCTAATTAGCTTCTCAGATGGCACGGAATGAAAACTAGGAAAAGATGAGGGTGGAGGATTCAGTGGCGGACCTTAGAACACCATCCACCGGAGAGAATTACTTGTTCTGAGTTACAGGACCCAATAATAGAGAAAAACCTGAAAGATGGGCTTATATTTTTATATCAGTGGTGACCCAGACTCAAGAAGCAAGTTCAAGTTGTGTGGGCTTCTAGATGTAACCTTGGAAGATCCTCGGATGTTCTCAACCCAATTAATCGATTATGCCTTCTCCAGAAAACATGTGGCTTAATTCTGTCTCTTGCAAAGACAAAGAAAAAGCATTAACTCTGTCTTCATCTCTTTATTCAGCATTTAATGGAAAAAAGGTCTTCAGGACTCAGAGAAGCTCATCTACCGCATGCCTTCTTGTCAGAGACCGCTCAAGATACAGAAGAAGAGAGTCATTATATTAATCCTCGAAGTATTCTTTTAGAGGTAACCCCTTCTGTTTACTAAT